GGGACAAGTACTTTCTGATTATTTATCCTATTTGAGATTTACTGAAGATGGTTGTGCTGCAGCATAGTTTCTGTCAGCAACCGACTCCATAATCATCAAAATTTATACTAGCCTAAATCACATAAATGAATGTTAATCCTTCCTTTGCAGGGCATTTCTTGCCTAGTTGTTTGTCAACATCTATACCATGAAGGCATTCATTTTTTTCTTCATATAGAATTAGGTATTTTCTACATCCTTCTTAAGGATTTAAAAACTTTTGATTCAGTTTGGCCTTTAAAGGGATCAATAACTTACAATGATGGCATGTTTGCTGTGGACAGTTTATGGACCAAGATCCTTCTGTGCAATTCAAAGAGGTTTCAACATTTTCAAAGTGCTACTAAAAGCTGCAATAGCCTTTCTGTTTCTTGGAACTTGATGAGGGTGGACAGATTAGGACATGCTTGGAAACTTGCTTGATGAGTTGTAATTCAGAAAGCTAGTATTTGCCAGGTTGGGAAAATAAGGGGAAAAAAAAAAAAAAAAAAAGTGGAATGGTGAGTTATATCACTTTTACTGCTTTGGCTGGATAAACCTAGAATTAATACTTTCAACCTGTAGTAATTATTTAGTGTTTGATCAAAATACATGCTTGGTGTTCTGTCTTAGTGTAAATAGGAATTATACACGCATATGTAAAAAAACCCACCCAAACCTACTACTACAACACTAAAACTAAAAGCGAATTACATGAATTACAGTTGCCCTTTGCAGTGTTGACTCAGCCCCACTGATAATATTTGTGTTATGGTACAGTCTGTAATTACATACTCTATTTTCTCCCCTAATAGGAGATCACCCATAATCATTACACAGGACAGAGGACAGAGGTGTTGCTGAGGATTGACTATTTGACATTTTTCTGTATCCTTGCTATTTGGAACGTGGCCCTGTGTTGCTTTCATTGCATGCAGTTTAAATTCTCCTTTCAGTCTACTTACATTTAAAAAAAAAAAAATGTTTGTACTTCATTAAAGCACATTAATAGATAGAGATTAAAAGATCACCAAGGCTAGTTCACTACGATGCAGGCACTTAGTTATTTTAGCAGTAATATGTCCCTGTTTTGGTCTCTTTACTTTTACTGGAGGGTGCTATGTAATTTTGCTACTCTTTCAGTTTTCAGTCAAAATATAATTATGGACAGTTTATGTCCATTCCTTATTGTGCATTGATCTTTCACCCTAGAGAGGTTTTTTCCCCTCCTGGATTTAAAGCAAATAAAGTTATAGATAGCAAAAATAACTTCTGTCAAAACAGCAAACAAGATTAATCCGCAAATTAATCCAGAGAGCTTCACCTGTAATCTGCACTGTAATCCACCTATCCACCTTTCAACAATGCCTGTCATCATATCATCTGTTTATGATTCATTTACATCACAATTTATCTTACAATTCTCCTATTAAACATGCCTTTTCCAATCTTTTTCTAGTTTTCATGACTGAAATTTATGAATGTCAGGCTGATGCACTATGCTAGACAAAGAATATATAGTATCTATATGAATCTATCAGTTATTAATCTGGTTTGATCTACACTGTAAAACCTGTGCTATAATGAAAGACTTTTTCCATCTATTCAATGTGTTTAATTGTTCTTTCAATATTCTACACTTTTTTTTAATCCCTCAGTAGTACAAATATATGTAGATACATGAATTATTTTTGTCTCCCCATTTTAAATGTGGGTATTACATTTGCTATTTTCCAGATGTATCTGGCTGTCTCAACATAATCCTTGTTACCAGGCCTACATCTTCCTTTTCTAATTGTTTCACACTCCTGGGACAACGTCTGTTCAGTTTACCTAAACTGATTATCTCCTTCAGTTCTGGGGAGCGTGGGAAGTTAAGGCAAACTTTTTACTTTTTTTTTTTTTTTTTTTTTTTTAAATACCACATCCAAATCAACACCTGTGCTGTCACTGCAGCATGAAAGTAGCTTCATTTATTTATTTATATAGCTGAAAAGCCTTTTCTTACCTGTTTTAATATACAAATTGTAGCTGAGTTAGACTTCAGCAACTCCTACTTTATCTTTACATGTATCACCAACAAAGATTTTGAGGTAAGAATAACTATCTCCAAACCCCAGTATATGGGGTAATTACAGACATTCTGGGTCCACCCAATATTAGAATGCCAAATATTAATTTAAACTTTGAGTCATTTAGCCTACTAAAGTCTGCCTTTCTTAAAAGACTGCTTTGCTATTTATGGACTACGAAGTTTACAGACAGAAGAGCTTTCTCTAGACACTAATGACATAGAGATTATTCCCATTTCTAAGATCAAGATACTATTAATTCCTAAGAGTACTTCATATCCTGTGTTTGATACAAGAGAAACAATGCTCTTACAGTTTAATTTCACCTACAGACAAGGAACAGAGTGTGAGTAGATGAGCAAATTTTCTTTGAGAGGAAGATTTTGGGGAGTTACAGATAGGTTCCTCAAAGTAGTATCACACATCTTTACACATAAGTGAGAGCAGAGACTTAGTCTATGACAAGCATCTAAGGAATACAAGAGAACTGCAAAAGACCAATATAAATTGTGTACAACATATACTCTTCCCTTGAAGTACAAAGAAAAAAATATTAATATAATCTCCGTGTACAACCCAGGGGTTGTAATTTAAATAAGCATTTTGTTGTGATGAACTTCATGTAAACATACAGTGAGACATAATTTCCCCCTCTGTGAAATTTCACCTCAAACAAGGCGGAAGACAAAGAATTAGAGGTTGAACACAGATTTGTAAAGGCCACAGGCAGATGGCTAGCATGAAGGTGGCAAAACCCAGCTCAACCCACCACTTTGGTGCCCTACTCTGCAGGCATCCACAAAACATACAAGGCTCTATTGGTACTACAGCAAGCAGTACATGAGTACACGTGCATTCTCACTGAAAAAATCTATAGATTCTGCTGTCAGGTAATTTAAGTTTATTACATGTCAATATCATCGCTCAAAAATGTTTGTAAAAGCAGTTGACATGCAGTAACTATGCTATGTGTTTCTCCCCTCCTCACTAAAGCTTATTTACATGAGGGAAAGTTAAGTCAACTAAAAGAACCCATTTTCTTTTCCAGTGTAACTGATGGTGTCCCTAATACATTCCAGAAGAAAACATCACTGCTCAAACTGTCTGTGAGAAAGCTCCATTTCTGCTGCCTGTTAGTTTCCATTTTACAGCTGGTCTTCCTATTATTCCATATCTGTCATGGTCAGACATGGTCCTGTAGAGGGAAGCAGCTCCTCAGGTATTTAGAAACAGCCTCCAGAAGGGTTTGGAACAGGACCCCATTCTTAAATGTAATTTTTCACTCAGATTTTATCTGGTGCTGAATAAGATGTCTGTTGTGATTTTTACATTTTAATCTCATATTATTTGATATACTGCAGTGACTTGACTGTCTCCCTTTACAGGATATAGACACAGGCAGAACAACCTTTTATAAAAAGACCATAGTTTGTCTCTGGCAGGATATTTTTCCTACCTTAAAAATCTGGGTATCGTTCAGATTCAGTGACTAATGTTAAAATAAATGTGTGGAGTTTTAACTTGCTCACCAGACGATAACTTGATGGGACAAGTAGAATACTGTTTTCCCTCTCCAGGAGGGAATATTACTTCATCTACTCTGAAAGCTGGTATAAGAAAACAAGTACATCTTTATGTGTATGCATGGGGAGACAGGGTAGATTTGCTGTCAGAAGACTGTATAATGCCAGAGTACGTGGAAAATAATACTATTCACATGCTAGAACATAACTTGGGCCAACAATCATTAGTAATGTAAAGATAAATAAGAAGTCATATATGAAAATGTAGGAGAAACTCCAGTGGGTCAGTTGTCTTCTGGCCCAGAAACTAGCAAATTAGTTCGGCTTCATCTATATGATCCTTGCTATCTTTGGTAGTCTGTGTCAACAGAGGATCTAGAATCACCTTCAGGACTAACATACACAATTTCCATGTATGCTTCAGTTCACAATGAGCATTTTATGCAAGGAAGTAAATAGACCACTAAGCACATGATAAACATTTGCAAAGTGACTACTGTGTGCACTAACCTGCCACATATTATCATTATTACAAACCATATTCAGTGGATGGTTAGAGTTAACGATTGCTCCCATTTCAGACTTCTAACTCAAATTTAATTGTAACTGACAAAATTGAGTGTTTGCACCTGTGAACTTCAGACCACTGCATATCTTGAAACAGAACAAGAACAAGTCACAGTTACTGCATCTTGTTCATATACCAGTGTTTCTGACAGCAGGGTTAAGAATAACTGAAACTAATAATAATAAATAAAAACAATAAGAAAAGATACCTCAAATCAAACAAACCCTAAAACATCCCAATAAACGTGTACCACAAAGAGAAGAAGAATATTTGATCAGAGCTCACCTTTAGAACAAAAACTGAAGAGTTGGTTAATAAAGACTGAGTACAAAAAGATTCTCTTCAGTTAATTTCATTTACCCTTCTATTAAAGTCCCAAGCTAATTTTTTCCCAGTGAGGTCTAGGAAGCAAAACAGCTCAACAACGCCGACTCTAAGAGCAAAAGAAACTACTTCGCTTTCCACGCACACACATACATATACATATTTTCATATGTACATATTTTATGTCATTCTTTTTCTCCAACACCTTTGCTTTTTCTGACATTTAATTAACAGTATGTCTCTGATGTCAAAACAAACATAAAATATAGCTGCATGTAAGGAATGCAAACCCCAGTTAAGATGAAATTTTGGATATAACATAAGACAAGCTTTACATTTTCATTGTGAAAATACTCCAGTTTATAAAATATTCCCAGTGTGCTTTTGACTCTCTAGATCTCTGTCTTGAAAAACTACAACTTAAATTAAAAACTGCAATATTCATCTGTGGAGGAAGTTTCCTTCTTGGAATTTTAGACAATATTTACCACTGACCTGATTGCGCTGACTTTGGTGAAACTCAGGGTGAGATGGAGCACACCATCTTGAAAGCATTAAAACTGTGGGAAAAATTCAGACAAAATTAATTTTCTTTTAATTTACACTAAGGAGCAATGATCTTAATTTTGGACATCTTGAATCTACCCCAGGAAGCTTCAAAGATAAGAATTTTGAAACAATAAAAAAGTCAACATTTATTTATGGTCAGATTCCAAACCCCAATATTGAGTCTACTTCCTCCCTCCCAGTTCAGTAGGACTATTTGTCAAATAAAATGTTACTTAGCATGAGTACATCCGAAGATAGTCTGTGTCATTTTACCATTAAGAAAGCATATAAAAAGACCTGTGCAAATATTGGTAGCTACTTGTATATAACTGGTTGCAAGTACTATGTAAAAAGCAAACCTGACTTCTCTACCCTCAATGAAACCATGGAAATAGACTTCCAAACTTTCCTCAAGACTCCAGAATGAATCCTGGATTGTTTTTTTTTGTTTGTTGCTTTCTTTGTTTTTATTTTTTTTGTTTGTTTGTTTTTCAGAAATGTGACAAAAGCTTTTATTTTGATTCCTCATATTTGTTATCATAATGCTGTAGCAAATCTGAAGGTCTGCAGGGTTCTGTGCAAAGATCCCTTATATATTATTAAAAACACCTGTGTGGGTACTCCTGGTGAAATGCCTTCTAATGGAAAACACTTGTGGTAAGCATACTGTGCATCCCAAAGGAGGAATAATTAAAAGCAGCTACTCATCAGAAGTAAATGGAAAATTTTAAGGCGGAGCATCCTGAAGACAGTGTGCAGCCTTTGTTTTCATTTATTCACATGGGTACGAAACAGTGATCTTGTGCCTCCTTTAATATGCCAAGACAACCATCCTAACCCTAAGGTACAAAAAGGACACCACACTAATCGCTTTTGCTTCCTCTATCTGAATTAAGTGAAGTTCAAAAATTTTGCTAAGACAAAGGTTGTAATATCTCTGCATTTCTGTTTAAACTTTATGCTGAAATGTCCAATAGCAAATATACTGAGATTTATTAACGTGTTCTCCCCTTCACTTGCCCTTCGGATGGAAAAGTCAAAAACTCCATGGGGACAAGATAGTGCCATCAGAAAACAGAGTCTGAGCTCTCCACATACGCTCAGGACACCCAGTCAATCCAGCAATGCAATTGTCTGAGCATCCCCAAGGGAGCCTAATAATTTGATATGTGCCCTATACACTTCTTGTGAAAGTAACTCATGCAAAGCACTGTTTTTCATCAAACCTAACAGGAAATTTCCCAAGTCTTCAAAGAGATCTTGATTCTGATGGGAACCCTGGTTGAGAGCAATGGTTTAAGAACAGTAAATGTGATATTAAGATGTGTGTCCTAGACAGGATTTGTATATGCTTGCTCCTTTACCTACTATTTTACAATTGGAAATGGAAATCTGTTTTTCCCCATTGTTGTACATCATGGTATGGCAACTGCATAACACTAAGAACGGTTGAACCAAAGGGACCTTTTGGTCCCAGCTTATACATAGAGACTTCATCTAAGATGGAAAATCAGAGACAAATGCACTTGTCATATTATCCTGAGTTGTTGCTTCTCTTCTTGGTCAGAGTAAAGCATATATTTGTTTCAACCTTGTCTTTGCAAATTGTCCACCTTGCCTTTCATGCAAATTTTGGAAGAGTGATTCCCAGTATGCTGATAATTTCACTATTTCATGGGATTTTTAAGCAACTGTAAATCACATATACTATCTCTGAAGAATGATAAAAAGCTTAGAGAAATTAAAATAGAAATCTACTGGGCATTTTCAATATTGAACATTTGGCTTTGTGTAATTGATAACTTAGGGAATTCTAGAAATTAATGAAGGAAATATCATTTGCAGTTAGAAAAGATTTAATGTTCACGATCCAAGATTGCCTAAGGATATAGTTTAGTTTTGGGTCAGATTCATAGGCACTAGATCCGAATGCTATTGTCACAAACAGTGACCTAAAATAGAATAATTTGATGCGATCAGACCACACAGACAGAATTTGATCATCTCAGACTGAATAAACTAGTTGCAAACCCAGCTTCTCTCATCAGGCTTTGAGCACACACAGATGGGATTTCAGATTCTCTGGCTTTTAAATTCAAAAGATGTTATAAACAAACTCAACTCTTAGCTTCACTGTATTAAAAATAAAACAAATAAAAACAAAACAAAAAACAAACCCAAAGTTTTGATTTCATTCTGATCCATCAACCAACTGATGTTAATCAAACTTTGTAGAATAGTTCTTTTTCCAAGATTAGCTTTTCAGCCCATTCTGTCCCTTTTAAAAACATACAGGAAGACTACAGAGGAAAAAATATTTACCAATCCATATTGACTCTTGACAGCAATATTTTATGCCAGCTATACAGAACAGAAATACTAACTCTGTGCTGAATAACCTACTGTTCAAAACTATTGTGAATCGAACTGGGAAAAGAAACCAGTAGGGAATTTTCTAACAATTGCTCTTCCACAAATTCAAAGATTAATGTCAGGCTTCAAATTATTTTTTCACTCATTCCTCTTTGAATTAATACCAAAGGCATTTGAGAACATCTCCTACAGCTACTTCTGTAATTCCACATAATTGAACTTTTCAAAGGAACAATGAAAACTCTGCCCACAAACTAGAGATTATTATAAACGTTGATTTAGAGAGACCTACCTTCTCCATCTCTCTGTCCCTCAAAGCACTGCAGATAACTTTTGCAATAGACAGACAGTCCTTAATAGGGGGACAACAGTAGCCCAATCAAATTTAAGTTGTTTATAAAGCTATTTTTTCCAATCAGGTCCCTAAGTACCTAAACTCCCAATGTAGAGCACCTAACCCCTCTAATCACTGTTACTCTTCATGTCCATCACCTGCTTGATGGATTTTTTTTTTTCTGAAAATGCTGAAGAAGCACAAAGAACAAATGTACCTTGAAGTGTAGATCTGGTTACTTAGCCTCATTCCAAGGCAAGATATCATCATGTGCTGATATATGATAGCCACCATTTCTATCAGAAACAACTCAGTAGCTGAATGACAAAATACATTAGCAAAAATTCAGTGTGTCACTAGTGTGCCTAGCTGCCTATTGTTTGGAGTCATGGCTTATGGCCCAAATGAAGGTAATTATTATGAATATTCCTGTCTTGTATTTTTAGTATATTTTTAAATTTGGTCGTGTCAAGTTCTAAATCATTTCTATGACAGCTATACCAGCTGTATTTATTAATTAAATTTCAAGAAGACATCTTGCAATACTGAAGGACAGTTTTAGTTAGGTGTTGATCTGAGATTAAAATTCGTTATAAAGCCAATTGTTATACATTCAGCCATTGATTTATTGAAATTTGCCTCTTATAGATGTGTCTATTTCTTAGAAACATCAGTATCTTGCTACTGATCTCTGTTGTGTTCTGTCCTGCCACAACCCAAGCTCAGAAAAATAATAAAATCTATATGGATTATCAATGAACTTAAGGTGTAGAGATCCATTTTACATACATTGAAGGATGAGGGCAGTGACATGAAAAATTTTAGTCAAACTACTTGATTAGTTTATTGTTTGGAGAAGAGAGATGAAATTTTGATGACATCACTCATTCAGCTACTTCCTTCCCCTTTACTTCTGGGAAAAAGAAAGATCTACATCTTAAGAACAAAACAGATGCCCAGAACAACATTTTTAATTACTCCTAGGACACAGAGATTACATTTTTAAAAGTTATATTTGTTATTGAACCTTAGTAGCTTTTAAAAATTCTGATCTTTCAACTATGGATTAATTTTAACTTCAAGGAAAAACATCCCATGTCTAATTACAAAGAAAGGATTTAAACTAAGCATTAAAATGACAAAATGGTCAATGAGACAAAATTTGTGGGAACACATAGTATCTTTTACTGTATCAACTAATAGGTCAAAAAACCCATAGAGGCTACCAAGTCATTCTTCAGATCTTCTAATTGGATCAGTAGGTCTGGTAAAAGCATAACCTTCACTTGAAATTTTGTGGATCTATCTATTTCAGATATGCCAATTCAGATAACACAGCATGGGAAATAATTGCCAGAGAAATTACAAACTAGCAATTGTAATTACTGTCTGTGTAAATCTCAGTCAACACGTACAACTTGAATCAATCTACAGCCTCCCACGATCCATATTGCAAATGAAAAATTTTAAGTTTTCAAACCTAATTTAGCTACTATGAAATAGATTGAGGGAAAAAGTCACTTTTTCAATGGTTAAAAAAAGACATTAATGCATCATGTGAATATCTATCATTTGGCTGATGGTAGAGACAAAATCTTCCCAGGTGGACCAAATGATTTCATTGTCTGGCTATGTCTCTAGAAGGACCACATGCATTTTCCTTTAGGTTAGAAGGCAAAGTAGTAAAAGTTATTTTCCATCTTGAAATTAATGGTCATTAATAATGATTCTTAGAATTTGTCTGTGGTCTTATTTGCCCCAAGATCATATATTGATTTGACCTTTGGCTACACAGAAGAAATATCAAAAACAGACTTTCTTACTTATTCCTGGATCTTTATCTTGTTTAATTATTTGGGAAATCATCAATTAAAACAAGGATTATATTTGCTTATAAGCAAGTACAGGGCAGTTTCCTTTAGAGGTAAAAATTATTTGGTACACACATTACGCCTTTCAGGTATCCTATGTGGAGGTACAACTCAGAGTTTGGGTAACTGACACTGCTGAGAAAGTCAAAAGTCTAAGATACAAATGCTTCAGTAAAATGCTCTGGATAAGAAGAACCCGAACAAATCAGCATGTCCAAAATCATGGCTCTTTGCAGTATGTCTTCTCTGGCTTTTTCTAGAAGACCGTCTAAAATCATTTTACCCTTAGCAAATTATTCTCAACAATCACATGTGGGATGACAATAAATTGCTTTCTATTGGTGAGGTCTACCAGGTTTGACTATGACTACATCACAACGTATCAGCTATGGGGTCAGGTCAATGGATCCAACACAGAGCCCAATATCGTATCTCTCGTGATGACCAACAGTGGATACTTAAGGGAAACACTGAAGAATCAAAGCAAATGTACAGTGTTCCTTATCTTATAATTGAATGTCAAATTAGGGACTCCACTCAACTAACTGGCAAACGACTGAGTTTAATAGTTCATGACTCTTTGTAAATTTACCTAATCCGTTATTTGATCCAATTTATACTTTTGGTCTCTAAAACATCATGATGTGATGCAGTTATTTTACATTCAGCAAACTTATTTTTGTTTAGTGACAGTCGAATTTGGAGACACCCAATGCCATTAAAAGGCCTTTATTCCAGTCATTTAGTGGATATCCCTATATGCAACCAAATCTCCTCATCAGAAAAATGGAAAATATATCAGAAATATTCACACCTGAAGAAGTGTAAGAATCAGGAAATTGGAAACTCTAAAAGAACAATATGCTTTCCTTTTGTCCCGTGGCTTGATCATTCTCCACACAGGTACATGGCAGTATTAAGAAGAGAACTACAAAGTGCACAGTTAGTTTCACGTCACACTGAACAGGGAGTTTTGTCCAGTTTAGCCATTACCTGAACTCCTGTTCATTTCATGAGTTCAAACTTTACCCGAGATTAAAACATCATTGCTTCTGCTGCTATTCCCCATTCAATTGTGATCCTTTGTCATCATTTAACTTGATAATTTAAAGCTTAGGTTGCAATTAATACAAAAGTAAATCTATCCCCTGATGCCAAGGCAAGAGTAAATTTATGCATAAGAGTGGACTGGGACAAATGAGACTAATCTTATTGAGTAAAAATCCATAACAGATTAAGCAACAGAGTTCAGGTGACATGTGGAGTGTACCATATTACTTTGCACATGCTTGAGTGTTTTACTGGATCAAACAAGATTTCTCAACAGCTTGTTGAATTAATTTTTAAGTAGTACTTTTGGGAGAACTCAAGTAGATGCCTCAATCCTTTGCTAACCAGATTATAAAATGTAGCATGTGTCTAAGTGTTTTTTTTGCATCAAAAATAAAAATAGAATTTTTGGTTTGTTTTCCATATTGTACCTTCTCTCTGTAAGACTAGTTATTAGAAGTTTCCTGCTTTCCAAATACATCAAGGACTTGGTTAGTTTGTGAAAGTATATCCGGAAATAAGAAGTTTGACACTGACTGATCCTTCTTATTTTCATTAAGCATCTACATATTTATATAACGAAAATCTGATCTTCTTTTGCTCGCTTTCTTTGGACAGCTTTATTGGCAGCTTTGGGTTATAACCACCTCATCTCATTGGGAGCAAAATGATCTGGAAGATGACAACAGAACTGGTTGCCATCTTTTGTTATGTACTGCGTTTGGCTATTCTGCTAAATTGTTAAATTACGTGTTCAATTATATTTGTGTCCTATAAAAAGGTACAGTTCATTATTTATTACACAGATTTGATTTGGCTCTGGTTCTAGGAGCGTCATACACTTATAGAAAGATCTTCTATTTTGAGACTGAATATTAGTTTAGTTAGAACTTTTAGGGCTCTCAGATTGCAAAAATAAATTTGGAGAAATTTGAGGTTGCTGTTTACATTTAAATAAGCTCTGATGCATGCAGATTAGAAGCAGAGAATTGCAACTCCATCATCCAGTTGTCAATTCCTGTAGAAAATATAGGATATGGGATAGACAGCATCAAAATTTCAGCAAATAACACTTATAAACAGTAACAGCCAAGTTAGCTTGCTTGTTTTACTCATCATTCTCCTGGAAAATCCTATATTTTGAAATCTAACTAGCAAGTACGAGAGTAATCAAGTTTGAGCATGCTGCCACTGTATGGCTGGCAGTTAATAGCACTATCAAGAGAAAATCGGGAATTGAGCAGAAGACAAAAAGACTGTTCTTATCTGGATGCCCTTTCCCTCTTCCTTTTCAGTATAATGAAGCTGTTTTGATCTTGATGGTATTTTCCTTTAAAAATTTTAGCGTGTTTTCAAGAAACGGAGGGGTTAGCTTTCTTTAGATCTGATCTCAATCACCTGATCCCGTTTTATTGGCTGTAGAATAATAATTGTCCAATAAAAAAATATTCTCTTTTCCTTTTATATGTTTGAATTGAGGTTTCTCAGCACAGCACGCCATGGTCTTTTTGGTCCCCTATCTAGGTTCTCCCATCTCCATAAAATCCTTAGCATTTGAACTTGTTATTCAAGACTGTTTTCTTCATTATCTTCCCTTTCTTGCCTAGTTTACCTACCAGGATGCAAGAGTGGATGTGTCGTATGATCCTTGTCAAGCAAAAGCCAGGGATACTGTTCCTTTTGCTTTCCATTTCACAGTCTTTCATGTTTATTGTTTAATGAGAAAATGCACCAGTCAGCTCCCATCTTTAAACACCACAAACAGATCTATTCCCCAGAAAAAGACTGTAGTTGCTGAAATCCAGTATCTTTGACTACTTTAGATCAAAGGCAATCAGTTTCTATTGTATATGTTGGATCCGAAACAAAGACTTTCAAAAACTGTAAAATAACAAACAAATCTCCCAACAAATGAACAGAAAACCCCCAAGCAAACAAACATAATAACGTTCACTTTTTAGGAGAAGCAGTTTCTGAATTCAGTACTCTGATGTTACAGGGAATTTGAATAACCATGTTGATATGTATGCTCTTTGGCAGTACTGCTACCCATGAATATGACAACTGTCAGAGCCTGGAAAGTCACTCACTCACTACTGTCACAAATCTGCCTGAAACAAAGCCACCATATGTTTAGGCAAAGAGATGAGTTAGTCTCTTGGCTCAAGTGCATAAAGATGAAATATAGAGCATTCATCAAAAAACTATAACATAATGCTTGGCTCTCCCCCTTCTTCCTCCATTAAATTAACTTTTTTTTTTTTTTTTTTTTAAGATTAATATTTTCATCCCTTCTTGCAGTATGTCATAACATACGGAGTAGTGTGTACTTCTAGGGAAACAAAGATCATGGGTCATGGCATGCAACAATTATTCAAAAGCAACAGGAGAACCCAGATAACGCACGATTTGGAGTGCTCTGTAGCATCTGGAGTTCACTTCTGTAAACACAGTGCCTGAGCTCACTTTTACATGGAATTTAGGTGCCCTATTGACATTTATTTAAACAAACACTTAAGCCACTCCAATTCAGCAACTCCAAGCTTAATGAAAGGAACAACAGAAATAATGCAGTTAGGGAAAAACTTTGTCTGATTTTTTTAATAATATTTATGAAAATTTTTCTATTACTTTCTTTGCTTTAATGATCATAAACATGTATATATGTTCAGAACAGGCTTGCATTACTTTGTTGCAGCTACTTGTTTCCATCAATCCACAGGAACTAACGCAATAATAATATGCTGTCCAAAATGATTTATGATCTCACTCTATTTATGCAAATGCCTAACTTTCAAATTTGAATTGAACTACTGTGGTAATGTGTCAAACAACTTGCAAAGTATTTAAACAGCTGACTACACCTGTTTCCACTTTATGAATGCTTTCAAGTTTCGGCTGCTTTGATTCAAAGAAATATGTTTAGTTTGGAGCATTACTATTCGATATGAAAATTAAAATTGCCTTCTCCTGGGTATAACAATGTGATGAGGTCTAACAGCACATAGAACAATTAAAATGCTGTGGCTCAACTATCTCAGACTAACTGGGTGGTTCTTGTCAGAGTAAGTGAAAGCTGCACAATTTGCACAAAGCACACAGATTGCAGAAGCACCGTCCTGCATACGTGCAAAATAAGCACCAAACTAAGGTGTATTTACGGGCCCAATTTGTCAGGAAGCTGGTAGTTACCTTGAAATCTTACAGCATTAAAATGAGAGTGAAGATTACTTCCCAATTCACATTCTATCTCTAGGTGAAATACATTACTTTGATAATTGAGGCTAATGCCCAACCTAGGTAGCAATAATTTATTATTACTATATGCAAGAGAGGGAAAGAGGCAGAAGCTATACAAGTCACTACCACGTCTTTGGCCGCTGCCACATCCCTCTTCTCAGTAAATTGTCATGGGCCTCAAAGCACCTCATCACAACCGTCTGGGTAATGACTTGCACAACAGCCTCTGGAGCACTTCGCTCTTGTGCAGAAAAGGGGCAGAGCCCACACGGAAAGCACCATTCAAGTAAGTGTCTGCTGCTTAGCTAACACTAAAAGCCATCCATGTAAAGGCCAGAGCTTGAAAAGTGAGCATGCAAATGTCCACAACTGTATACACTCAGAAGAGGAAACTTGAGGCAATTTGCACTGCACACATAACCTTAGGCTCAGATTTAATAGTAAGAAATACATAGGGGTTGGTTTAGCACTGACTGTGACATACTCCTTATGCATGCTGCTGCTGTGTTCAGCTCTGTGAAGTCCTGTGTACCCCCCCATTTCACATGCGTGTAGGGACAGATTTTCAAAGCTGACTATTCAGTCCTGCTAAATCCTGAAGATGTAAGCAGAGCCAAATGGACACAAAAGATACAATGAGGGAAAATGCCTGCTAATCAGACAAGTCGTGGCAGCTGCTATGTCACCCATCACCTTGGTTAATGATGCTGCTATGCTCAACATTGGTTATTTGAAAGCTACCCTTTCTGGATTGCAAAAATAAAAATAAGATGAAACTCTGTTGGGGCACTCTACTTCCATCGAAGTTTAAAATTATTAATTTATTATTTTTTCCCTGTTGGACTCGGTCTACAAAGTTATTGAGTATTTAGTAAACTGCTGTTTCTTCTCCCTTGTGGGAAGCCACTAGTCAGTTCAAGCCTCCTGTACTTACCCCAGGCAGTTTACAACATTGGACACAACAGCTACAACACAGGCCAAAGCATCAGAACCCTCGCAGAACAGACAAGGCAGGAAACGTAGCTCAGAACAAGTAGTCTCCTCAGTCTGGCTAGCAAACCCTACTGAGCAGCTGAACACAGACTTTATATAAGAAAGGGGAGTGACAAATCCAAACATCTGACTCAACTAGCTTTAGCAGGCCAAACGCATATATTTCTTCCAAACTTATTTCTTGAAGACTGCCTCTGGGGGTCAAGTGGTTCCAAGAGAAACATTCAAACTAAGGCAAAGGATTTCCACATAAACACAGTCATTGCAAACATGCACTTATTTTCCATAATAATTTGGAATTTAGTCTCGTGGCCTATTTGTAAACCCCATGACTCTGAATGACCTCACTGCTCTCTCACTTGCTCCTGGGTAAAATGCTCCCTTGTTACAGAGGGTCTCCAACTTCCACTGATTTTTAAGAGCCTAAAGGACTGAAAATGACCCCTCTGTAATCCCACCCCTTCTGAATACAAGGCATACCATTTCATACAGCAGTTTCTGCTTGCAGTCCATAAACTTATGATTGAATTAGAAGTTGTTCTCCTTCCCCTATTCTCCCATGGGACACCCAGACTTGGTCTAGGTACTCCAAACAGTATACATTTCACCACTGCTTATTCATTACAAGGGTGAATTTTTTACTGCTGTAAGGGGACTCCTTTCAAAGTGTGTCCTTTGTTTCCAGCCCTGCTTCAGACACTGAGGTCAGCACTGGTGAGGACACAGCACTGACTGTACGAGTGTAATCCAGAAGTGGGCTGTCTAGGTGTTAAGGTCATATAAGTAGATAGGGCTTCTACCGGTCCTGTATGTAAAGAGAAACTTCATCTCTCTGCTACCATAATGAAGCAATTATAGCAGAACTAGTCCTTATTTAATTGATGTAAAAGAGAAAATTATGATCTATAGCCTACCTTTTTCCATCTCTAATTTAACAACTATTATAACCACATGTATAATGTACAGAAAACTTGGTGAAATAAATAATAGGAATTCTTATTTTATCATCATTTAATCATTAAGCTTAAAGAGTTGAAAAAGGAAAAAAAAAAAAGGTCATGGGTTTGATGTAGCATTAGGCTGACAAATACATCCAGAGCCAGTCCCCAGGTTCCCTATTAACATACATTTTCTAAGGAGGAAAGTTCATGTTCCCCTAGAGCTGGAATTTAAGTGACTTTAGATTTTAACACAAGACCATCTAAATTGTAAACTAGGTGGAGTTTTTTCACTGCATTACAAATATCTGTCTATCATCCTTTCTTCTTCACAGTGAGACCTGAGCAGCTGTGATTAGTGGAAGGAAGAGTGTACTTCAATATAAAATTAATTGCTTCTACCTACATTGTTCTCCCCAAGTTTATAGCTCATCTGCTGCTGGGTCCTGCACCACCTGCTCCCTCTTGTACCTAATTTTCCCTCCCACATGGCCCACAAGGCAGAACACAGAAGGAAATCAGAGCCTGGGACTTTGCTTGAGAGCCATTAAGCAGGTTCTAACAGATCTGGGAGGGTATGGAAACATGTTATCGCAGAGATCTCAAATATAACAGGAAATATTTGTCATAAAAACTTTGTTCTAAATCAAACTCCAACAATCCTTTCTCACAAATCACCACACTGCAGACAGCTGGAAGTAGTACAGAGTGGTAAATTAATTTCTTGTTAAATAAAAGTGCTCTGAAAATTCGCTCCATCTTACCAATTCCTATACGTGTGGGTTCATATTTTAGGTATAAATCATACATTCACACACAAACACACCCACTTGATATTTCCTTTCAGAATTCAAAAGACTGGTTTTCTGTTCTTTAAAATTCTGCTTTCATACTTCTGTGGATAAGAACAGGCTTACAAACCCCAGTCAAAAATTATTACAACCAAGTGTGACCATTTTAATACTATGAGTAAGATAGGAACCTCCCTTTATATGTAGGAGTCAATGTTGCATTCAGAGAAGTATATCCACCCACCTGCAGTCAATGCTTCATTTGTTCTGTTGCATCCTAATTTTAATATGGAGAACTGACTGAACACAGGAGCAATTTATTCACCAATCACTCACTATTCATTGAATTAATCTCATTATTTGTGAAGTTATTAAACATCCCACATAACCAGCAATTTAATACCACATTGAAACCCACTGAAGTTAAGCTTCAAAAAGTAAAACATACCCTGGTATTTTCAAATAATATCATCTTATTTACTTAGCATTTTATGAAGACTTCCCCATTTGCATTATGTAGCTCTTGTTTAACACTAAGAACATAAAATGTAGTGACACCTAATTTATTTTCAATATATGCAGTATAAAAATACTATATTTGACTCAAGTAGCTGTCAAACTATGCCACCTGGCAGCATGCAGCATCGCTCTTATTTGACACATCCAGACAAATAAACTATTTAAAAGACAAAAAAAATTAACATTTAAAGTGAAAAAATAGAAAGAGCGTAGTAAAAATATTTTTAAAAATAATTTTTAGTTTTAAAATAACTAAAATATGAGCTTGCATACAAGTTCACTGCATTTCCTCTTCTATTTGATTTTTTTGGTGTTTTGTCTGATTTTTCCTCTTTCCTTTTTTTTGCTTTGTTTAAGAGCACATAGTTGAAACATCAATACAAAAGATGCCTGGAGCATAGGACTCCACACCCATCTAACACCTGATCAAATGTCATTAAATACTTGGCAATGGTCAAGTCCATTTCCACTTGTTTCTAACAAAGACACAACTACAGTCTTGGCAATTCAATATTTTTAGATATTACTGGGAAGTATTCCAACATCCGACTTCATGAAACAATACCTGCAATGCCCTAAGAAAGAGAGGAAAACCATCCTCCAATCAGGGCTAAGCAGGTGTGTTGCCTTTGCAGAGGAACATTTCTTGTCATAACACCAAGAAATTGGTCGGTTCTATGACATTAACTCCCTTTGGAGGGTGGGGTGATACTTAATAGGAACAACACCAGGGCTGACAACAGCAGCATTACTTTCAGTTTCAGACCCAAAATGTCAATTACTGGGGAGGATTGCCAAGCATATCAGAAAGTGAAAGTGAAATGGACTTACAGGAGTGAGTCCAGGAAAGAGCTATGATGATAATTAAGGGACTGGAGCATCTGATATACAAGGAGAGGTTGAGACAGCTGGGGCCATTAAGCTTTGAAAAGACTCAAGGGGATCTTATCAGTGTGCTTAAACATCTAACAGGAGGGTGCAAATAAAATGGAGTTAGGCCCTTTTCAGTGGTGCCCCATGAAACTTCAAGAGGCAATGGACGGAAGTTGAAATAAAAGAAATAATTTAAGTATAGGAAAAACCTCTGGAGTTTTGGTTGGTTGGTTGGGTTTTTGGTTGGTTGGTTTGTTTTTTTTTTTTTTTTGTTGTTGTTGTTGGTTTGGTTGGTTTTTTTTGTTTTTTTTTTTTTTTTTTGAGTGACTAGACACTATCAAAAGTTCCCTAGAAAGGCTGTGAAATCTCCATCCTTAGAAATACCTAGAATCTGACTAAGCATGGCCCTGAGCAACCTACTCCAACTGTCCACGCTTTGAGTATGGAGCTCAAGCATCTCTAGAGGTCCTTTCTTGCCTCCACAGTTTTGTGATTCTGTCAACTATAACAGAAATGTGTTTGAAATTTTCTCCCATTACTAATGCTGCTGTACCAGTTCCACATACAAATGAAAGCTTCATGCATTGAATCAATCAACCTGGCATCTTTTCTCAGTGCTGCACTCTAAAACAGCCCTAACAAATATATATCCATACACGGGTGTTTTGTTACTGAGGTATTTATGAGGGATGTGTGGGAGGGTAAAGCTGAGAAGCTGCCTCTTCTAGAAAGTAATACCATGAAGCATTAAGAAAACCTAACAAAAAGGGAAAGCGTGCAAAGGAGTGATTGTTGTAGAAAAGGTCTGTCTAAAAGCTCAAAAGAACATTTAATATAGATAGAAATGAAGGCACCATTGCTACAGGTAGCTATTTTTTGACCTGCTACAACAGGAAAATGCTCTTGCACTGGCTTCTATTATAGAGGACTTTGTCCTTTTTAAATCACTCCCACTCCACTGTAGTTATCCCATCTATTTAAACTGGCCTCGGTCAGCTCCAACTATACATTAATGACAAAAATCAGGTTAGATGCCCTGTCTTCTTATATGGTCCAGAGGAAAAAAACCAAACCAAACCAAAAAAAAACAACCTTTCTGAAAAATGTACAACAGTACTTCCAGAAATGGTTTCACTTATGGTTTGAGAAGCAGGGGCTTCGCATATCTCCCTGCTTTTTCTTCTCATTTTCTTTCTTCCTCTAAACTCTTTCTCCTTTTCCCCATCCTCTCTCCCAGTCAATTTTTATTTATGTTCTTGTATTAAAAAAAAAAAAAAAAAAAGGGGAAAAGTAAATATTATCTGGGAAGAAAAAATTAAAGACAAGAATTAACTTTATTAAAAGCAGTAAAAATCTCTCTCAATAATCTAAACAATTTTAAAATTGAAATTTTTAGATTTCAAAAATTACTGCTTCCACTCTGGAAGTAAACGCATTGCATTGTGCAATTCTTCCTGCTCAAGGCACATCCATGCCAAATTAGCAGCTGGCAGATTTCTTCATTAGGAATCACAATCCTGCTTACACTTATTGAAACTCAGTGAAAGCTGCACTTCAGCTGGAGAACAGGGGCAGGAGAAAGGCAAAGATATCAAACCAATATAAAAAAAAATCCTCGTAGTTACACAAGCTGACATGTTTTTTTTCCATTGATTTAATCTTAAAACCCATCCTGTAAAAATTTAGGGTCAGACAAAGAATTCTGAAGTAAAGCTTAACCACAAAAACACTTGCAGCTCTTACCTCATATTATTTTTTCCCGAGACAGAATACAAATAAAAATTATACCTTCACATAGCTCAGCAGCTCTAAGAATTCTAGATTAGGTTTTTCCTTTTTTCATAACAGTCTACTCACCCTCCCAAACACACGCTTCCTCTTCCAACCTTCATCAGGTTTCCTCAGATGTCCGTTTCCTGAAAGTAGTATTAG